AAATTGTATACATGAAGTAATTTCAAAAAAAAAACTAGGGTTTTACCTTTTTGGGGAAGAATCGAGCAAAGAGGCCGAGAGATACGAGGGCAGATGCGCCGGAGAAGAAGGCGAGTTGGGCGGCGACGACAACGTCGACGGAGAAGAGGGTCGCTGACGAACGGGAGTTGTGTTCGTGTGGTCGCCTTCAGTGGGGTTTTTCTTTTCTGTTCGTCGAATGGGGTATGTTTCGTCCGAGAGTATACAAATACAGCAAAAGATGAGGGATTTTATTTAAAAGAAATAGCTACCGATTTGCTACGGCCCAGCTTTGGAGTCTGCTACGGATTAGCTACGGATGGCCATTAGCGACAGCTTACCTACGCTTAGCTACGACTAGCAAAAAAAAAATTAGGGTGGGGTTCGAACTCGTGCTGCCTATGTATTCTGCGACTATCTTAACAATCGGCCGGGCATGCCACATCCATGCCAAGTAGGTCGACAATTTCTTTTAAACACTTCCTCATTATTATTATTATTATTATTATTATTATTATTATTATTATTATTATTATTATTAGCTATAAATTGATCCCGAATGTGCACACGACTTTATGAACGATATTAATAGCTATAAGTTGGTGGTATATATATACGTGTATAAGTGTATGTATACGTGTTTGTGAGTATTTATATATGAATGTAGATCATAAGCATTATAGTTTTAAACCATTAAACGAGTAATGTATCCCGTATATGCACACGACTTTATGAATGATATTAATAGCTATAAGTTGGTGAAAATATAGATAATCATGTATAATAGAGGTGTGAAAAAACGAAGCGGAAAAAACGACGTTTGGTGCCCGAAAAATCGAAAATAAGAAAATAAAGAAAAACGGGGTGGGGTAAGAATCAAACTCGCATCTCGGGCATAACTAACCAACACACTTACCATCTGGCCGGGCATGCCACATCCTTGCTGAATTAGTCTCCTATTAGTTTTATACACTTTTTTTTTCGATTATTATTATTATTATTATTATTATTATTATTATTATTATTATTATTATTTATTTATTTTTTCAATATTCAAGTCTTAAAACTTTTTTTATGATCGTTTTGTTTTTACATATTTAAAACACAAACAATTAAAAATTATACTAATAGTCCGAATAATAATAATATTCACAAACATAATGATAAAATATAATAATGGTAATTAATGTGTTTAACACACAAACAAACGAACAATCGAAGAAAAAAAAATACTACATTTAATACATCAACAAGGTGAAATAATATACGTTTAATGTATAAATTAAATAATGAAAAAATATGATAATTATGGGAAATATGTATATTTGTATAAGTATGTATGTATGTATGTATGTGTGTGCTTATGTATATGTATGTGTATGTATATGTATGTGTATGTGTAAGCATTACCACGTTAAACAATGAAACGGGTAATGGTGGTGGTGGTGGTGGTGATGGTGATGGTGATTATAGTGATGATGATGGTGATGATTAGGATGATGATGATGATGATGATGATGGTGATGGTGATGGTGATGGTGATGATGATGATGATGTTGATGATGGTGATGATGGTGATGATGATGGTGATAATGATGATGATGATGATGATGATGATGATGATGATGATGATGATGATCATCATCATCATAATGTAGGTATACGTGTTTGTGAGATGTATGTGAACGTATTCATAAACATTATAGTGTTAAACCGCTAAATGAGCAATGGATCACGTATGTGCACACGACTTTATGAATGATATTAATACCTATAAATTGAGCCAATCCGTAGCTAATTAGCTACGGATTGGCTATGGATTTTTCTTATTTTCGATTTTTCGGGCACCAAACGTCGTTTTTTTCGTTCCGTTTTTTTACACCTCTACTATACATTATTATCTATATTTTCACCAATTTATAGGTATTAATATCATTCATAAAGTCGTGTGCACATACGGGATCCATTGCTTGTTTAGTGGTTTAACACTATAATGCTTATGAATACGTTCACATACATCTCACAAACACGTATACATACACATATACACGTACACATATACCACAACTCATTCATGTATATAAATATACATATACAAACATAATCCATTACAAGTTGGTGAAAAGTATAGACATTACAATGTTAAACTGTGAAAGGAGTACTTGATCCCGAAGCGGCACACGACTTTATAAACGATATTAATATCTATAAGTTGGTGAAAATATAGATAATCATGTATAGTAGAGGAGTGAAAAAAATCGTAGCGAAAAAAACGACGTTTGGAGCGCGAAAAATCGAAAATAAGAAAAATCTGTAGCTAATCAATTAGCTACGGATTAGCTACGATATTTTCTTATTTTTGATTTTTCAGGCACCAAATTTCGTTTTTCACTCCGTTTTTTTCACACCTCTATTATAAATAATTATCTATATTTTCTCTAACTTATAGCTATTAATATCATTTATAAAGTTGTGTGCACATACGGGATCCATTACTTGTTTAGTGGTTTAACACTATAATGCTTATGAATACATTCACATACATCTCACAAACACGTATACATACACATATACACGTACATATATACCACAACTCATTCATGTATATAAATATACATATACAAACATAATCCATCACAAAGTTGGTGAAAAGTATATGCATTACCATGTTAAACTATGAAACGAGTACTTGATCCCGAAGGGGCACACGACTTTATGAATGATATTAATAGCTATAAGTTGGTGAAAATATAGATAATCATGTATAGTAGAGGTGTGAAAAAAAACGAAGCGAAAAAAACGACGTTTGGTGTCTGAAAAATCGAAAATAAGAAAAATCTGTAGCTAATCCGTAGCTACTTAGCTACGGATTAGCTATGGAATTCTAACGGAAAGCATACTCCGTAGCTAATCCGTGAGTAATTAGTATCCGTAGGTATTCCGTAGCCATTCCGTACCTAATTTGCTACGGAATAGCTACGGATTAGCATCGGTAGCTATTCCGTAGCTAATTAGCTACCGAATAGCTACGGATTAGCATCTGTAGCTACTCCCTAGCTATTCCGTAGCTATGCCGTTACTAAATTAGGACATCCCATTCTGTAGCTGATCCTTAACGATTCCGTAGCTAATTGTTTTCCGTGGGAAAACTCCTTGTTTTTTAGTAGTCAAACCCAATAACAACGTTGCCTGGAAAAATAAGCTAGTTTAGATATAATGCCTCAAACACAACCTAACATATCTACATAATATTTTAATCGATTCCACGTATAACCTTAATAATGCAATAAATTCCAATAGTACAACAAAGTCGGCTAACGATAAGCAGACGTGCATGGAACAGAAAATCTTTGAACTACTATTGTCAGAAACATGTAAATAAACAAGATTCTTAATTTATTGATAATATTATTATAATGGTTCGTAGATTAATTATGCAGTCAACTTATTTAATAATCTTCGTTTAAGCAATGGTTTCAGCTTTGAGAGTTTTCTAGCCAAACAGCAAACATACAACCTGCTCGCACGTTGTGATGGGATTTAATTCATAAACATTTGTAAGAAGATGCTTATCTTAAAAAAACAATTTTTTAATTCCAACGTCTTAATATCTTAATATACCAATAAGCTTATAAGCATTACGTACGTTTTTATATTCGTGAGCGTCACAAAACCCACCCTCTTCCGACAATTTGTCGCTAGATTTTGGGTCCTATAAATAACTGTTGATGTTGAAGCTATCAATAAGCAGCAGTTGTACAAAATTCACATCAACACCTTCAAATTAAGTTAAAGAAACCAAAGACAATGGCTACATTTCATCATTCACGGAGGTTTTGCTTCATCCATAGCATCATCACAATCGTCTTCTCCTGGTTTGCAAACCTTACTGGAGCTGCCTACCATGGCTATGTGCCGAGTCCCTGGACTCTCGCACATGCCACGTTTTATGGGGATGAGACTGCATCTGCAACCATGGGTAAATATCATGGCTTAAAGCTAGTATCTTCTAGCGATCAAATACCCGTTTCACTATCAAGTAAATATAACATTTCTGGATATATATATTTCAGGTGGTGCTTGTGGATATGGAAACTTGATAACTAATGGATACGGAACGGATACAGCTGCTTTGAGCACAACCATCTTTAGCGATGGTTACGCCTGTGGTCAGTGTTACCAAATACGGTGTGTCCAATCTCCATGGTGCTACACAGGATACACCACCGTTACTGCCACCAACCTTTGCCCGCCTAACTGGTCTCAGGATTCAAACAATGGAGGATGGTGTAATCCTCCCAGAACCCACTTCGACATGGCCAAGCCTGCCTTCAAGAAAATTGCTCAATGGAAGGCAGGCATTGTCCCTGTCATGTACCGCAGGTGCATTTCTTTTCCTATACTAGCAAGCATCAAACTTTTCTACTTTATAACATTTGATGTACAAAGATGAACAAATTAACTTAATTTGATATGTAATCTCTGGCATGCTAATTTTATTGTTTTTGTATTTTAGGGTACCATGCAATGCTATTAGAAAAGGTGGCATTCGATTCTCTTTTCAAGGAAATGGCTACTGGCTGTTGGTTTATGTGATGAATGTTGCTGGTGCTGGAGACATCAAACAGATGTGGGTGAAAGGGACAAAGACAGGTTGGATCAGCATGAGTCATAACTGGGGTGCTTCATACCAAGCTTTCGCAACTCTTAAGGGTCAAGCCCTCTCCTTCCGATTAACTTCATACACCACCAAACAGACTATCACTGCCTACAATGTCGCCCCTGCTAACTGGAACTTAGGGTTGGCATATCAAGGCAACGTCAACTTCCATTGATCACCTTTCAATGTTCTGGCTCTTCAAACGCATTTGAAACCGTTTGATTCAGTTGAAGCTGGTACATCTGCTTTTAAATAATATTGTATCCAGTTAGTATTTTTGAGACTGTAATGAACTGAAAGATTTTTGAGTATCTAGCAAAAGAAAAGTAAAATTATCAAAGGATAAAAGAGGAATATACATTTAGGTCATTTTGAATTTCTCCTTAAAGCAGTTGAATCAGGGGATGTAGTGTTGTACAAATGTTACCAACAAATTATAAGATATACCTCAAAGAAGGGTGACCAGAGCTAAAACCCACCTAAATTTCTTCTATAAAAGATAATATCTTAATTTTTGACACTCCTTTATTGGAGTCTCATTTTTTATGAAAATAACAGCAACAGATGGAAGCTGGATACAAATTCTTCTCTTTCCAAATGAAAAGAGAACTCATCGCCTGCAATTAAAAAGCCTCACCATATCTAATCATATGTAAATATTAGCAAGTGTTACCATGTAAAAAGGAAAACCGAAGTAGGCTTGCTTGAATCGGAGCATAAACATGGCGGTAACATGAGAACAAATCAAATCAAACTTAAATTTCCTGAGAAGCTGATGACGATTTTCAAAAATTAAAATTCTATTAACACAAAATTCTTGACGTTCTCAATAATATGAAAAAACAAGGGTACAAATATATTACTTTTGATTAGGAGAAGGTGGCAAGCAGCTTGGAAGAGGTAACCGTCAACTTGATTGCCCCGGACATCCGTCTACAACACACAACACACATAACAATGGAGAAACCATGATCCCTACTTCACATCCGGAAAAGAGATATTGGATACCGATTATCCCCAAATTGGGACTTGATTCGCCATCCAATTATTAAAACTAAAAAAAAGTAATTGAAATGATTCTGATGTAACCTCCACGGATTTTAAACCAAACGAATAGCGTGGTATTAGAAACAACTACGATCAACAAAGTGTGGATAGGAAACCATCAGAATCGATCCCGCCAGTTTGAACTTCCTTTCCGCACATAAGCGGTGGAATTACACAACATAGATGATTGAGACTTGGTGGCTAAAGCAATCGTCAAATGAGAGAGAGAGAGAGAGAGAGAGAGAGTAACACTAAAGAAAAAAGGTGATCCTTTAGGGTTGAAATTTGAAAATCGAATCTCTATATGAGATTACATCCCAGATTTCTGGAATTTAGGGCTGATTTATAGCATAGAAGTTGGAAAGCAGAGCGAGAATGAAGGCGGATGGGTATTAAGAAGCAGAAACGGTATTTTTGGAACTTCACATAGAAAATTTGAGCGGGAAAATTTGCTCGCAATTGGGTACTCATTAGAAGATATGTCAAAACAAAAGAATAAAAGAAAACCATAAATTTAAATAAAATCAAAATATATAAAAGATGAAAGTTTAAGATTAAATCCGTAACTTTCTAGAACAAAAAAGGTTTAAAAGAAATAAAAAAAAATGGGTAGTTTGTTAATAAAGAAGATTTTCGAGACAAATTTTGTAACTTAGATTGTATATAAATAAAGAAAAGATTATGTCCATTGTGACCATTCACTGCTATGTAATCCTATCAACGAGTGATGATTTGTGAAGAATTGAAAGAGAAAATTTTCATTATTCTCCAATATCACTTTTACAATACTGAGAGTAAGAATATATAATCTGTACAAACTAGAGCTAATCTAACAAAATAAAACTAACTCTAACAAACGCTTACGTCATCATCTAACTAACTGTACAGGAGAAGTCAACATAAGTCAAATCTAACTCTAACATCCCCCCTCAAAAGGTTCTTTGTAAACACGTCAGCTAACTGAGATTGTGTTGGTATATGCTTGAGAGAAATTAAACCATCTTGCAGTTTTTCCCGGACAAAATGGCAATCAATCTCCACGTGTTTTGTCCTCTCGTGGAAGACAGGATTTCGAGCAATATGGATCGCACCTAGATTATCACAATGAATAGGAACAGGAGTTAAATTGGGAACATTGAACTCGTGTAGTAATCTTGTAAGCCATGCTAGTTCAGTTGTTACCCTTCTCATACTTCTGTACTCAGCTTCTGCCGAGGACAAGGAGACAGTGATTTGCTTCTTAGATTTCCAAGTAACAGGGCTATCACCAAGAAAAATAATGAATCCGCTAATACTTCTTCTGGTTTGGGGGCAAGAAGCCCAATCAGAATCACAGTAAGCTCTTAATGAGAAAGCATCACTGTTATTCATTAACAATCCTTGATTTGGATCATTATTAAGATATTTAAGAACATGCATAGCTGCTTCCAAATGAGGAGATCTAGGGTCTGACATGAACTGGCTAAGATGTTGAACTGAAAAAGCTAGATCAGGTCTTGTATTGACCAGAAAATTCAATTTGCCAACTAAGCTTCTGAATATTTCTGGATTTTCTAAATGATCCCCTTGAGAAAGAAACAATTTCTGATTTGATGGCAAAGGACAAACTGCATTTCCAGAACAATTGAATTCCTTTAGCAATTCTGAAGCAAATTTCCTTTGAGTAAGAACAATGCCATTTGTAGTATACAAGACTTCAATGCCCCAAAAAAAATTGAGATGTCCAAGATCTTTTATCTTGAAAGTTGAATCTAGAAATGCTTTTAGTTGAATGATCTCTTCTGTGTTGTTGCCTGTTACCATAATGTCAGCGACATATACAGCAACAAAAGTAACATGATCCCCCATTTTCTTGAAGAATAGTGAAGAGTCATTCTTGGAATTTTGATATCCAATATCCTTTAAAGTAGAAGAAAGTCTAGCATGCCAGTGTCTTGATGCTTGCTTGAGCCCATACAATGATTTTTGAAGTTTGCAGACTTGATTTGGATTAGACATTTTTAAACCAGGTGGTGGTTTCATATAGATCTCTTCATGCAAATCTCCATGCAAAAATGCATTATTCACATCTAGTTGATACATACTCCATCCTTTCTTGACTGCAGTAGCTATTAAAGCCCTGATGGTAGTCATTTTGACGACTGGTGAAAAAGTCTCTGTATAGTCAATTCTAGCTTTTTGTGTAAATCCTTTGACTACTAGGCGTCCTTTACACCTTTCCACATCACCATTTGCCTTATATTTCACTTTATATACCCATTTGCAACTGATGGGTTTCTTCCCTTTAGGAAGATCAACAAGAACCCATGTATTATTTGCTTCTAATGCTTCAAACTCTTTGTTCATAGCTTCTTGCCATTCTGGTATTAAAACCGCCTCTTCAAAGCATGATGGTTCAGAAATCTGATTCATGTTTTGAATTAAACGTTTGCTTTCTTTTGACAAAGTAGAAAAGCAAACATGTTTTGGTGAAGAAGTATGAGTGATATGATGAGAACAAGATAAGAATAAATAACATTGAGGATTTTGAGGATTTTGAAAATTGCAAGAAGCATTGTTGCAAATGAAATCTTGTAAATAAACAGGAGTTTTGAGGGTTCTGGTGGTACGTCTAAGAACAGGTGGAGAATTATCAGGTAATGGTTGAAAGCTGTCATCAGGGGTATTTTGGGTATTGTCAACATTAGCAGTAGGAACATTAGAAAAATCATTTTCATATTGAGATGGGTTGATTTCTCTTGGAAATAAAGGCTCAAAAAATGACCTTTTATCATGATAAGGAAAGATATGTTCATGAAAAATGACATTTCTAGAAACATTAACTTGTTTTGTTGTCATGTCATAAACTTTGTATCCTTTCTTGCCATATGGATAACCAATAAAAATATTTGGAAGAGCTCTTGGTTTAAACTTGTCTCTATTATGTGATAGAGTACTAACAAAGCATAGACATCCAAAACTTTTCAAATCAGAATATGTAGGATGTTTACCATGTAGAACAAAATAAGAAGATTTTCCTTTTAGAACCTTTGATGGGAATCTGTTTATTAGATGAGTAGCAGTCAATACACAATCACCCCAAAAGCTTAAGGGTAATTTTGACAGAAACATGAGAGCTCTAGAAGTTTCCAAGAGATGTTTGTGTTTCCTCTCAACAACCCCATTTTGTTGAGGGGTATTTCTGCAACTTGTTTGATGAAGAATGCCTTGTTCTTGAAAAAATGAAATAGCCTCATTGCTTGATCCCAATTCATAAGCATTGTCTGATCGTATAACCTTGATGTTCTTGCCAAATTGAGTTAAAACCATCTGAATGAAACCTTTAATGACATTAAAAGCATTACTTTTGGTACTCAAAAGATGAGTCCATGTGGTTCTAGTGTAATCATCTACAATAGTGAGGAAATAAGACTTTCCATTATAGGTTTTAGTATGATATGGGCCCCATGTATCAACATGAATGAGATCAAAAGGAGAAGATGTATGAATTGTACTTTGACCAAAAGGCAATTTATGCTGTCTAGCTTTAGAACAAATGTCACAAGGAAGATTAGAATCAATATTTTCTTTGTTCAAAAGATTTAGAGTTTTCAACTTGTACAATGGCAAATGCCCAAGTCTATTGTGCCACAAAAGAAACAAATTGTTTGTGGTAACATTATTACAAACAGAACTAGAAAAAATAACAGATGGATCTGAAGGAATGATTGAAGTAATAGAAAGTGCAATGGCTTTGTTCTTGTTTTGATTGGAATGCATAAAATACAATCCAACTTTATGTCTACCAAGAACCAGAGGCCTCTTCAGAGAAAGGCCCTGTAACAAGAAACAAAACTTGTCTGAAAATACAACAAAAGAGTTTAACTTATGACACAACTTGCTGATTGACAAAAGATTGAACTGGAAGTGAGGTACATAAAGAACGTTGTGAAGAATAACATCATCAGCAAGATAAGTACTTCCAACTTCATAAGCACTTATTTGATGTCCATTAGGAAGAGTGATTTGATATGGAATTTTTAAAGTTTGGATTTGAAACAACAAGGATCTGTTATGACACATATGATCACTAGCCCCTGAGTCAATAATCCAAGTAGTTGTAGCAGTAACAAGACAATGACAACTAATTGGATTAATATTGACTGCAGATTGATTAGGGGTATTTTGGGAAAAAAATGTATTACCAGCAAAGTTGAAGTTGGAATGATTCCCATTGGCATTGTTTCGATGATTGCTTTGAGATTGTTG